GTAGCCATGCTGACAGAGCTTCCAATCAATGGTGATGCAATAATAGAAAGTTCAGCGAAACCATTGAATGGTTGGGGCCAATTTATAAGCGAGCGTTTAGGTATCAACATCCCCGAGGAAGCACAAGAAGGTCGTCGTGTACCACCTCTACACAAGTCTATGTTATTGATACCTTGGCTAGTGAGGACGGTTGGGGAATTACCAGCGGATGCCACGGATGCTCAGATAGAGAGGTATGCTCGCATCTACCTTATTTGTTTGGTTGGAGGATTTTTGTTTCCGAACAAGTCTGGTGGAAATATGCATTGTATGTGGCTTCGAGTTCTTTTGGAAGATTGGGACGAGATTGTGAGAAAAAGTTGGGGATCTGCTTGTTTGGCCATGATATATTCGGAGTTGTGCAAGTGTACGGATCCGAAAACAAAGCAAGCGGGTGGTCCCATGTTCATCCTCCAACTATGGGTTTGGGAGCACCTTCCTACTTTCGCTCCAATCTGCCCTGCCAACAGTTGGGGTCCCGATGAGCCACTACGACAATGGGCTTATGGTGCTAGATGGATTGGAGCTATCACGAGTGGCACCTCTCTAGACGGGTACCGCCAACATCTTGACCGTATAGAATTCAACGAGGTAACATTCTAGCTTATGATTATTTATTTCTAATTTATTTGTTGAAGTTATTTGTCTTAGCCCATGATTTATTTTTACGAAAGTGAATAGCCTAATTTATTTGTTGAAATTATTTGTCTTAGTGTTAGCCTATGATTTATTTTTATGATTACGAATTCTATTTTATTTGTTGAAATTATTTGTCTTAGTGTTAGCCTATGATTTATTTTTATGATTACGAATTCTATTTTATTTGTTGAAATTATTTGTCTTAGCCCATTATTTATTTTTATAATTATGAATCCTATTTTATTTGTTGAAATTATTTGTCTCAGCCCATTATTTATTTTTATAATTATGAATCCTATTTTATTTGTTGAAATTATTTTTTTTTTCGTTGAATCAGTTTCTTTTTATTCCGAGTAACCAAAACAACGAAGAGGGGAGTAAAAAGCCCCATGTTCACCAACTACCAGCCAAAACTCTAATTACATATCAGGCTACTATTCACTATAATCAACTAAATGTAACCCAATCTCACTAAAGTGTCCCGGGCTCCCCTATCCCCATAAGTGAGAAACACCAGCTCCTGTTTGATAAGCTCAGCAACCTGCCTTGGCGTCCGAGCAGCAGCTCCAAAAACCACTCCACACCTCTCCTTCCAAACAAACGCAATCACTAGGCACCACAGAAGAGCTTGCCACTCCCCAAGCGGAGCACGCCCAGCCTGCGAATGCGAGTGAATCATCGCATTCCAGTCTGGAAAATGTAACAGACGACACCCCAATCCTGCATCCAATTCAGTAGCAAAAGCACATTGGGTAAAAAGATGATCCCGGCTTTCCATTCCCTGTTTGCAAAGTGGGCACTCAGCTGTGCTAGTTTTTCCCCATTTCAGGAACTTGTCACGGGTGGTAATTGCATTCTTCAAGACTAACCAGACAAGCAAACAAAAACGAGGAGGACAAATACTACCCCATACCAACTTATACCAGTCCACTCTAGGAGCTTTCCTTCTTAAAGTTTCCCAAACCCTACGGATAGAATATGAGTTCATCTCATTCGAATCCCAGTATACTCTATCCTGCTGCACACAGATCCATGGGCGAAACACTTCCCTAAGCTTGAGGATTTTACGAAAAGCCTAGGAACTACTATACTGAACCCTTAGCCCATTATTTATTTTTATGATTATGAATCCTATTTTATTTGTTGAAATTATTTGTCTTAGCCCATTATTTATTTTTATGATTATGAATCCTATTTTATTTGTTGAAATTATTTGCTTCGATTTTAATTTATATGTTGTGTTGAAACTTAGGTGGAGTGGGATCCGTATCCGAACGGAGCAAAGGATTTGTACGAGTTGCGATATCCTGAGGATCGCCGACTCTGGTCGTGCAAGTTGCCTGTGATTTGCCACAACATTGTCGAGTGGCACCTCCCGGATAGATGTGTCCGACAATATAATTGGGCGCAACCGATTCCTCTCACACCACCGGACGTACATAAGTCACTCCACAAGTACAGCAAGGATCTGCGGGGTACAATAAGTGATTGGCCAACCAAGCACCATAGATGGATCGAAATGTGGGAGTCTCGTCAGACGTATGCAATTGATGGGATCCCAATGACGAGGCCAATGGGGTACCAAGATGAATACATGGTTTGGTACCGCAAGTTCACAAAAAGATGGGTAACCAAACGTGGCGCCGTGATCGGTTCATTGGTAAGCACAATATCTATTTACTATAATCACTTTAGCTACACAAATAGTGTTTACTAACATGTTTATTATTTAGGTTGATGGGTTGGAACTTGCATCAATGACGTTGGAGATGAACCAGAAGATGCTGTGTCAGGGGAGAAAATTTCATTCTTGAAGAAGCTCTTCAAGAATCTCTTGTCTTGTTCGCGGGAAATCCGAAGGGATGTCATTGCATATCCTCCTGCTCCTGCACCGCCACGTCCTTCCTCCCACGCCATTGAAGTTGAATATCTCCCGCCATCACCACCAAGGAGGAGTAAACGTCGGCAAGAGCCAGTTAACGTCCCTGTGCATGTACGAGAAGATGTGGCACTTCCCCACCCATACGAGTATGGATTCCCTCCCGCCAGAAGGGAATTCGGAGAGGGATCATCAGGTTCTGCTCAAGGAGGGGGAGGAGGAGCCTACTATTCATCGTATGGTCATCAATTTAAAACCCGCATCAAAGCTTCCAGACTCCCATTCCAAATGTTTATTATGGTCCTCCAGCCACTGCAACCCCACCTCCATTGCCACGAAATACTGGAATTGGATATGGAGTTCGTTCAAGGAATAGACGTCGAAGGGAGGGACGCGGACGTGGTGAACAAGAGTGAGGTGTTCTTTAGAGTTGTTAAGTTGTTCTATTTCTAATGACGTTGTTCCGTTGTTCTATTTCTTTAGAGTTGTTTAGTAGTTCTAATCCCATTCTTCACCCCATACTGGCCACTCCTGTCCGTCATGTTCCACCAATGGACCAGTTGCAGTTCGATCCTCGTATGTTGGCCATGGTGCATCATGCCGCACTCTGAAATCTCCTGAACCGGAAAAACCTCCCGATCCTTCACCTTGTTCGGTATAACCGCCCCCACCATATTGGTCAACAACTTCTGTCTCGACATACACCTCAGCAGTTGGAAATCTGTACTCTGCAATAAATCTCACCATCATATTAACATCATCATCGTCAGACAAAACTGATCCTTCATATACAAGTGCATAATCCTTGTAAACCGGCATACGGTAAGTCATCTTGCATACTCTTCTCCCTCCTATGCAACATCGTTCCGCACAAATATGGCTGAGTTCTTGCCAAGTAAATATGCTCTTAATCGGGACAGTACTTAATTCACCATCTTCGTAGTCAATACTATCATGAAAATGTGTAATTCGACCATTCCACCGAATCAATAAGTTGAATTTTCGAAAATTTCTACCCATTTCTGCAGTTTATAGAAGCAGCTCATTACATACAGTACAAACAATTCTAAATTAATCTAAAATTCTAATACGCTCATTCAAACAACGTAAGCAGAACTTACCTCCAAAAATTTTCTTCTTTGCTGAGCTATGGTGCTCCAGCTGCTGCAGTTTGTGTTTGGAAGAAAGAAGATAGAAAGTAAAAGAGCTGCCAGAATGTGCTAAGTGAGGGCTTTTTATCCTCGTAAACTGATGCAGTGGTTCGAGTCTAAAACACTCGATCTACACTAGTTTGAGTTTATTAAACTCGATCTACGCCATCCAATAATTTCCCCCATGCACCCTATTCTGGAGCATGTCGGACCGAAAGCGACTAGACAGAATTATTGAGCAAGTAGTTCGAGTTTAGTGTAATCGAACTACACTAGTTCGAGTCCATAAAACTCGATCTATGATAACAAAGAATCTTATCCCTGCAATCCTATCCTGAAGCATGTCGGTGGGCCAGTGGTTCGAGTCTTTTGGAATCGATTTACGTAGTTCGAGTCATAGAGCATCGATCTAGTGCAGATAAAGATCGGGTGTATTAAATTCGTTGCACTACATCGAGGTTTTAGGCGTCGATCTAACTAAATCGAGTTTTCCATACTCGGTCTACTGGATCGAGTCCTTTGTCATCGATCTACTGAGATCGAGTCTTTTGTCATTGATCTATGTTGTTCGAGTTTGTCATCGTCGATCTAGTTAGTAGTTCGAGTTCTATAAACTCGAACTCCTTGAAACTTGAGTAGTTTGGGAAAATTTTATAAAACTTATGTATTCTGGGAATTATGTATAATTTTTACTGTATTCTGGGAATTCTTCCCAGCGAAGATGAGAAGAAGAAACGAAGGAATACAAGAAAAGAGGAACTTTGTGGGGCTGTTTTTACTTTTATTTTTGTTTTTAGTTTATTTATTAATTTATTTAATAAAACCGAATCCAGCTCTGGTAAAAAAAAAAAAAATCGGACGAGATACAACAAATTCAACCGAAATCAGCCTTGGGTGAACCAGCCAGCTAAGTGACGGTATGGGTGCTGTCACGGCACCATAGAATTCCCGTAGTTTAGTTGCAATTAATAAAAGTTAGGCATCATGCCAACCAAATTAACAAATGCAATACTTAATAAATGGCTGCATTTAACCCGTGATCACCAACGATCATGATTACCTTCCAACAAAACGCAATAATATCATGGGACATCCCTTAATTACCCCACACGCCAGCACTGCTAATTAAGAAAAAAGTAAAAACAATCATCCCAGAAACCGGACAGAATAAACCTAGGACAAGCAAACAACCGCCAAATCTTAGAATACGCACAATGGTTACTACTCGATCGTCGACCAACGTAACCTGTTGCTATGACCTGTGTCTGACTTTGGATTAATTATATTAATCACTAGTTCAAGTAGGAGAAATCACAGAGACGCCAGGAATCATCGAAATCTAACAACCTGTCCGAGCACTCCGCCAGTAGCCCTCCTACTTGCTGGGCTTCCTCCATGACTGATCCCCCGGCGGCGGCGGCGGCGGCGGAGGCTATGTTGTTAATTACTAGAGTATCGCCGTTGCAGTTGATAAAGGGGACGTGGTCGACATTGATATCATCAGGAGGAGCTACGCCTACGCTGAATAGTGCCAAAGGTGACGATTCATGAGAAGAAGAAGTTGATGAGCTGGTTGAGCAGTACTGATTATTATAGTTGTTATTGTTGAGATGATATGAGTAATTAAAATGGGCTGTTTTGGGAGCGGGGAGGAGATTGTGAGTGTTGGGGTCCAGGCCTCGGGAGATAAGCTTCTTCTTGACGCAGGAGTTCCAGAAGTTCTTGATCTCGTTGTCGGTGCGACCGGGCAAATGCCTGGCGATCTGAGCCCATCTGTTGCCCAGCATCCTGTGGAGGTGGATGATCATCGTCTCCTCCTCGACGCTGAAACATTCCTTCTTCAGATCGGGCCGCAGGTAGTTCATCCACCTCAGCCTGCAGCTCTTCCCGCACCTTTCCAGACCTACATTACATACATATATTCACCGTAACATTATATTAATTAATTATTGTTGTACAGGAGATCCCTAGCTATGGAAAGAGAGAGAGAGAGAGAGAGAGAGAGAGAGAGAGGGTAAATTAAAGTAAAGTAAAAGCCGATCGATCGACCTGCGAGCTTGGGAACAGAGCTCCAAGAAGCAGGCGCATGGGATGTGATGAAGTTGAAGAGCTTCTCGTCTTCTTCTGGGCACCACAACCCTTTCCTCACCTTCTCCTTCGTGCAACAGTTATGCGCCATTGTTATTATTGACCTCGACCTCGTGGATCTTCACGAGTAGCTATCAGCTGAGCTCGTGAAATGTGTCTGCTTGCTGTCTCTTATATATCTCTTTCTCACAATGTTACGTTTCTCTCTTTGGCCTTGGCAAAGTTATCCTTATATTGCAGACAACTCTCCCAACTATATTTCGACCAATCATAATAGTGGATTATAGTAGGGTTTGAGTTTGGAAAGTTCAACGATTGAGAGGTTTGTAAGAGAGTGATATAACTTATAATATCTATAATATTTTTTTTCCAATAATTGGAATTATCTAGTTGTTGACATTGTATTTCGGATTTGATTTGGTCAATCGATCGTATGTTTTAATCGCCACGATCCCCACGATATAAATAGGTGATTTAAACACAATTATAGTGACATGTGTAACCTTCAAATTCGTGAGTTCATGCTCATTAGAGAGAGCGAAGGTGATGAAAAAGAGGATTGATTATTGAACAACGCATGAATATCTGAATATCAAAGTTCAATGAACATGTGTAAAGTTGTTAGCTCTCGCGCCGGTGTACGCTAATCTGAACGTACGGCCATGGGAGTGGCAGCGCAGTTCCTCACGCCACAATGATGTATGCAATACTTTTTCCTGTCTCTTCCCAGACAGACAACAACGTTAGCTAGCCAAGGTAACTAACGGTTTTCATTTGGACAATTAATTGATTAATTAATTAAATTCCAAAGGTTTTTTCTTCTTTATTTTATAAAAGTAGAGAAGTTAACACTGATGTGTTTTCATCTTTATTGGATGAGGTCACTTAATCATAGATGATGTGTTTCCATAATTTAACCTCATATGTTAGCTATATTAGACACAAATCTAGCACTATAAAGTATATATGTGTTTTACCATCTCTTATAAGAATCATATATATTATATACAATCATTATACGATACTATGAGGGATGGTACAAAGAATTTTGTATGTTTTGTGGGTTTTTAGTGCATATTATGGTGGCTTCTCGGGAAGCCATCCATCCTTGTATTTGGCTTAGGATAGGGTCAGTAACCAATAATTACTAACCTATAAGTAACTAAATCTGGACCGTTAGATTTAAATGGGTTCAGAAAAATCAGATCTAAGGGTTGTCAATTAAAGGCATTTTATTTTCCCTAGTTTTCTTAATTGGCTCTTATCTTCTTCGTTCTAACTAGGATTTCAATTTTTTTGTTGCACAGATGGGTGAAATTTCTGGGTGATGAAAGTGATTGGTAACTTGTTCATCATGATCTATTGGATCTATAAATTTCTGGGTGAAAAAAATATTGTTTAAAAAATTACCATACTTTACTACTATGGTATGTGATTGGTAACTTGTAGTAAACAATGATGAAAGTCGTAAACGACAGTTAATTAATATACGCCTACTATCATGTATTCAACCTTCATACCATCATGGTACGCTTTCTTACCATATGGTATTAAATTGGAGCATACGATATGGTAATGATTGGTAAAAAATTATTCAATTTTTTTTGTACTAAAATTATATCAAAGTGGATCTCATTTTGAAGAGCATATTTAATTTGATTTATCTGTGCAAAAAAAAATTTAATTTCGACTTAAAACGAGAGAGAAATCGTCCGTTAAAGATTAAAGGTGAAAAGATAAAAGACTTTCCAGGAGAGAGAGACTACTGATGTCATGCTGATGTTGACAGATTACTCATGGTTACTGACCATAGAGTTACTGACCTGATCCGCTCCCCTTGTATTTATTAGTGTGGAGCAGTTTAAATGGATGATCACTTGGAAAGTCACTATTGCATGCACCCAAAAGTTAAATCCTGGGTAGGACCCAAAGCGAACAATATTTTGGTTAGAAAAATATTGAGAAGTTACAAGTGATATCAGAGCAACTCTGCATTCTTCTTGGAAGATTGTGGGGCAAACGTCAACGAGGATGTTGAGTCCCATAAAGGGTGTATATATCACCTTAGAAAAATCTCAAATCGACAAAGCACGGGATAGATTCATGATTCATAAGTTTAAAATCAATCTTAACTAACAAGACACATTTTGGAGTAAATTGAAAGAGTTCATGTGAAAATTATAAAGTTAAACGTGCTCGGTATGTCATTAACATTTCGGCTTAGGCAAAGAATCCGTTCAAAATTTAATTTATGTTATTTTAAGATTCCTACATTTTTTTTATTTCGCATAAGTTTGTGGTGCCTCTTTTTACTCATGTTCTCAGTTGCAACGCACTCTTACAACGCAAGTTCTGTCTACTATATATTATCTAATAGTTTTTTATGAAATAAGAAGTTATCTAGATAAACTAAATAGGATGGAAAATATAAAAACTTATAAAAAATAAGGATATTAATGTTGAATCTTGTATGATTTAATTTATATTGAATAATATTTTTCGGAATTTATTAAATTCATTCAATAATATAAGTGAAAGAAAAATATTTTATTTGAGGAAAAAATAAAATAAAAAATATAAAAATTTATTAAATACTTTATTTAATGCGCATATACATAAATGAAAGTTTTTTATTAAATTTAAAACTTCTATTTTTGTTATATTACCAAACGTGTCATTATTTCTCATCCATTATTTGATCGCTCTCAGTCTCATACTACATATGTATAAAAGCTATATAAATTATTTAATATTTATATTCAATAAATTAAAATGATAATTTAAACATTATGTTTTTTAAAATAATTACAAACTACCCTTGGTTCTTTAACGATTGCATTTAATCTATTTCTTTGTGAAGAATGGCTGCAGTACTGTACACGATAAGTCCTTGTTGCTATGCAATATAATGTGATGGAAGTACGATGAAAAAGAACGAGGAGGCCAAATGAAAAGACTAGAAAATGGGAAAGTCAAGGGACCCAAAAGAGAAGAAGAAAATAAAGGGTTTTGTTTAATCACATGTGTTAAATGAGTTGAAGGCTTGAAGCAGTTGGGCAGCTGGCTAGTAATTAGAGTAGGTCATTATGAGGAATCATATTGAGGAGGAGGGCAAGGACCACTTCTTCGAGGAATGGGTGGTTAACTTAAACAACACTCATCTTCTTATGTAACATTCTTGAATTATTCATAGTACCACTACAACAAAAACAAACATTTGCTTACTTACTTTAATGGGGAGGGCTTGCAGGGATGTGGATTTGAGTGTACAAAACTTTTGCTTAAATACTTACTTTAATGATTCAAGCAATTCAACCACCTTGATTATTATTTTCTTAGCACCAATGAGACAATTGGATGAGATAATTAAGTAGATTCTAACCCTAAGTTTAGACTTAGTAGTCCATATGAATTGAGTGCAATACACTCAAAGATTCGATTTTATGTATATGGGTTGACAAGTATAGCGTAAAAGTGAAACGTAAAGCGTAAATTTTATATATCGTTTAAAATTGTTAGAAATCTTCTAACGAGTACATACTCTCTTTGAAATATAACATTTTTATAGATTTCCAATAACTATGTTGGACTCTGTGTCATATATTAAATAATTTTAAGGCCACTAGTTATAAACGCAAACTAATTTGACAAGTTTGTTGAAATTGTAAATTCTCACAATATGTTTTGTAGTTTTGTACAAAATCATGGAACATTGAAGTAAAAAAAATAATCATAAATATTTGTTTAAATGAGAAGCCACAATCTCTAGAACCAAATCAAGAATTCATTGACTATCAATATTCATCATTTGGACTTACACAACTAGGGACTAACTGCGGGAAATAAGATGTTATTCTTCATACTATTCATGTTGTGTAGATGACAGAGACGATATGTGTGGCTACGAGCGGCGGGAAAAGGCTGAAGGTGATAAAAAGCATATGGAGAGAGAGCAATGTCACTACTAAGGGAAGATGGGTGGCTGTAGTGAGGTATTGGAAGGAGAGAAGGATCAAGTTTGAAAAATTAGGGGTGAGAGAATAGCATTTAGTGATTTATATTTGTTCCTTTTTCTAAATTTTGAATGTTTGATCAGGCAAAATAGTGTGATTGCTCCTAAAATAAGTGATACAATCAAAGTTGCACATCTCAAGCAATCCGAACAAAAATATAGAACCAAGATAGGATGAAAATCCATCAGACAGAATTCACTCGTGAAAAGGGGCAATCGATAAGAATCGATCGGGCAATCTCAACTCGGAATTAAGGGAAATTGATATGGGTAGCTCGCCACAATTAGGGTGTGTATACCTAATTGATAAGAGTCGCTCTAGCACTCTGGAATCCTCAATAGAGTATTTATAGCAAAATCCACAAACGGAACAAGCAAAAGCTTTCTGAAATTCAATAATAATCGTCTAAATTCCAAACCAACGAGTTCAGCCCTATAAATAGGCCCCAAACAACTCAAATCCGAACATAACAAGGAAACCAACATCATAAACCGACTTTGAAAGCAAATAACAAGTTCTGACCGAGTTTAAGTTCAAAATAACAAAAACAACACTTTTACTCCTTTTTCTTGCACTCTACCTCCTCTTCGAGACTCCCTTCTTCCTCCACGACTTGTAACATCATAAATGGCTTGTACTTGAATAGCTCCACGTCCATGCTTGGAAAATAACAACCCAAATACGTTGCAAACTTGTATCTGATCTTTTTTGCCTTAGAATGTGTCACTGGCCCTTTGATGCCCTCATTAGTCCCTCCTTCTTCAAATAGATTTGACCTCAAATCCGAATTTCCATCCAAATAAGGTGCAAGGTCAGAAATATTAAATGTTGCACTCACTCCATACTCACCCGGCAAGTCGATCTTGTAGGCATTGCTTCCCACCTTCAAAACCACTTGAAATGGACCATCACATCGAGGCAACAACTTTGATTTTCTTTGCTGTGTGAATCTCTCCTTCCTCAAGTGCACCCATACCCAGTCTCCCACTTCAACGTGACTCGGCTTCCTATGCTTATTAACATTCCTCATAATCTTCTTCGTTCTCCTTTCAATGTTTAGTCTAGCCTTCTCGTGGAGACTCTTCACAAACTTAGCATTCTTTGC